ATAACTGCCTCGTTTCGATTGCGCATTCAATCTGCAACAACATGCGAAAATGAGGTGAAAGAGCGAATGACTAAGTCGTTTTCATTTCTGCCAATCTTCCTATGAAACCTATTCACACTTTGCCCAACTCATCGCTTTTTTACTTTCCTGAACATAAAGTTATCATTTGCTTAAGCTATATAACTCGTTAGTCTACGAGATCTATGAAGTTTTGGAATGATTCTAGATTTTTGCACCGATACCATCGATGTGCGCTCTATACGCGGTGACCCAAGCGCTTCCTAAGTTCAGACGTGAGAGCATCCGAGAAATGGTCGACTTTGACGCAAACTGCTTACGAGGTAATTTACAAGCATTTCATCCTCCATGCCACTCGAGAGACTTCGAAATTCGTCGTTTAGAGCTTGGCAATGCTATCGCTTCTCAACCTCGATTGCCACCGTGTATAATGTTCTCGTTTGTCAAGATTATTGTAAATGACGACGATAAAACGAGAGTCTCTGGAAATCTTACGAATAAAATGAAACAGCTCACGAAGACCGAGGTTATACCTAGTTTTGTCATTCTCTTCCGTTCTCTACGGTACTACTTCAGCACCTCTTCATCAGATCGAAAGAGATTAGGTTATGGAATTGATGGATAGAGCGTCATGTGTTCAGGTAATAATGGCATGCACCCCTCAAAGAACCGGACGATTTCTTGAATCGCTTAGTGCAGGAGCTGTCAGTGGACCCCGCTCAACCCATGGCCTCACGACAGTTTACGCGGCAGCTGGCCTTACCGCTCGATGGTGTGGAAAAGTAAGTTGTAGCGTTCCTATTAGAGCTAACAGAGTGCATCTAGTACCTTCACAAAAGAAGCTTCTCTCTGAGCCATATTTCGTTAAAGTGCATAATTCATAGCCGGCGATCTCACAAAGGAAGGATACTAGGTCGCAGTGCCCAACTGATATGGGATGAATGTATATCGCCGTAAGTGTTTTCAAACGCTGATATCAAAGTCCACGCTCCAAATCTGCTGAACGTTTCTGGGAACAAATTTACAGAATCGTCTTCCAACTGTATAAACCTCTGTGTTACACACATAAACGAAGCGTGTAGTCCTTCTACCGTGCAGCGTTACTGCAGTTGGTCAAGCAGGATACACGAAGGAACGGCATGGTGACGGCATCCTCAAAAGATTTGAACCTTCTGCTTCTTCATGGAACTTGCCCTGAACGCTTGCGAAATGCTTTTACGCTTCATGTTGACAACGTTACATTTAAGGGATTCTGGGCCTTCTTTACATCCCCCTTCGAATAAAGGTGCTCTCTACCCCCGAACACTCAAGTTGTTCTCATCAGTCTTCGGCAGCTCCACGAACTTTTGACAAAGGGCGGTGGCATTGTTCATCTGACTAAAGCTTTCTCTGGAGGGAATACCGTCGGAATACAGAAATACGGTCTCTACTTTCGGAATAACTGGTATAAGGGAGACGGCATCCTGAAAAAATACTGTCAAACATTTAACTAAGGGAAGTCTTGCCCTTGACGTTGTTAGAGGAAAAATAGGGTCCCGAATATCATGAGTCTGCTGACGACGATTTGCCCCATTCTTTTCGCTCCTAATGATTACAGCCATGAGACATTATATTAGATCAAAAATACATAGGTTTGAATGCTTATGGTCTCTCTCAATCTCCCTCAGTAGATGATATTTCATAGTGATAAAACCAAATTTGTTTTCGTGCTCAGTAGGGGCAGTTCTTTTTAGCGTACGAACGATGGAAGGTCATGAACTCAACCAAGGTAGGAGGTTCTTCGTGATTTGTTGGACCGTTGTTATCATCAAGTAACCAAAGAGAATCGTTGTGATCACCTTTCACAATTCGAACCATTCCTCATGATCGCACACAGTATCCAGTGGTATGGACCAACATCGCTTCAGTACCTTCCGGTCCTTCCTAGATGGTGCTCACGTTATGGCGCTCGCGGAACCAACAGCGGTAACCCTAGTTTTGGACGGAATTTAACAACTGGTGACATATTGAAGGCCTTCGATCTGATGAATGATGTAACACCTTTCTCCCGGAAGCTCCCTAAACTGCTCAAGGTTTTGCAAGGCTAATTTGAGTAGGAGCTGCATTTCCTCCTTGCTCAAATTGAGCTGCATCCTCACCTGGTACTCGGAGCCAGAGCAATTCTGTCTTGGTTCTTCATTTCTAGTATCCTTCAGATGTGAGGAAAGGCTTTCAACAGTCTACAGGAGGCCTGAAAGCACTTCGCAATCAATCGTAATTTATTTTATGAAAAGTCGAACTAGCAGATCCATAAACATTAGAACATCCATGCCACACCGACGAGTACGCAGTCCGTTTATTTAACTGTGCCATCGCTGCACAATGGTGAAGTCTTGGTTTGCTTATCCGTGAAACACAGTGGTATAATACGGGTGGAGAAAGGTTCCGTAACTTTGTCCACAGAGTCGTTTGGCAGATTCGGTTAGCGAGTTGAGATCAGCAGCTAAAAATACTAACGGCGGCGTGAATATAATCTCGAATGACTGCTGCAACATTGTGTCCTTCCCTTGCCACTCATTCGAAAAAAAAAATTAGTGAGGTGGCAAGATTAAAGATGACACACGTTGCCATTAGAAGCTGCTAGATACTCATGCTATACACGAGCAACACAGTAACGGTGGTGTACTAAGGGATATAAATTCTCAAAATCCTTCCCTTAATCTTCGGGAAAGTAAAATCAATCATGTAAGTGAAATCACGATGATAACGTACTTTAATGATCGTGCAGCTCCTTTCAGTCAACCAGAGCAGATCCATCAGCATTCATCTCATCGTATTCCATCCGCCAAAAGCATCCATTCATCCAGCTGGAGACGATTGCAAAACGAATCTCTATGAACAACTGCGAAGTAATGTCGACCACTTACATCCATACGATACCTTTGGGAGACGGGCATTAGGAACGATTTTGGGTAATCGATTCGCCGCACGCGCCTGTCGCGGACCACTCATTTGCCGTTATTACAGCTCTAGCGTTCTTCATACAGCTCAGCCGTTATACGATCATTATTTTATTCATAATTCTACTATTAGTACTTTTGTTCCTGTATTTCTTACCTACTGCTGCATCCTTCTACATTCCTTCGCGCGCGACGCCCCTCTCACCGCAACGC